GTAATGGCATCGAACGTATTGAGCAGACGTGAAATGAGCATCAATCTGAAGGCGCAGTTCACGATATAAATTGTTTCTGAGATTCCTCTCCAGAATGAGCCTGTGACCGCCGAAACATAGCACAAAGAACGCTGTCGAGTAGAATAATGGCCTAATTAGGGGGAAATAAGTGCCTCAAAACGGGCTCAGAGCCGTCGTACACACCCGAGGCGTACGAGTTCTCATGGCATTGTAAGGGCTGTAGAGGTTGCAACATTCGCACCGGGCGCACGCCTTGTACGGAAGCAGCTCACCGTGGCCAGCTTCAAGCAACGGTGCGCTTTTTTAGACAGCTCGTCCGAATGACCTCTCCATGCAAATTTGTCTTCACGTTCTCGCCCAACCACTAATTTCACTACTTTTTTCAAGCATAATATTTCTCTGAACACGCCGACTTTCTGCTTTCTCTCGCCGTTTTTAAACTACCACATTCTGAACTACCATTTCCACTATTCGTCTTGAGCTACGTAGTTACTCTAAAATCATCGTGAACTGTGCCTTAACTACTGCTGAATCACTTCTTTTTGGGGTCGCTTTGTGCGGTCTTCTTATCTCTTGCTTGTTGCTTGTGGCTCTTAACAAGAGTCTTGACGTCTCGTCGATGAAGGATCGAGTCTTTCGTGAGAGCTTCTATTGCTGCTGTAGCTACAGCCTCCTGTCGACGTTGTTGCAAAGCCTCGCGGTACTGCACTGAAACGGTGTAAATGAGAAAGGGCGAGAACCATTTGTACAAAAATTATTGCTTGCTTGTTGATTTTTGCCTTCCTATGTAGTTTTCGTTAGCTGGGCATTTGGCCATAGACCGATACCCAATGAGATATTTTTCCATCAATCGTCATTTGACAACATACGTAACGATTCCAGTAGGAAGAATAAGCGAGAGGAGTCTTACAAAACATTGCTTAACGTTGTGAAAGGATTTTTATTTCTTCCTATTAATTGAGATCGCATTTACACGTTGTATGCTCTCAAATTACACTCGAAGACGATGAGAAGTCTGATATAGTGTAACAGCCTTTCGTACAAAAACGTAGTGCCGTCTGGAGGGTTAGAGAGAAATGTAACCAATGTGTTGTGAGAGAAAATTGCATACTTCCCTCTCCCCACGAGAATACCGGCGACATATCGAGGGACGCGACCAACAAAAGTCGAAGAAAGGAACTGGAAGCCCGTTCGTAAAACTATCACATCGAATGACGCTCGCCGTCAAGCTGCTCATTACGGGAAATGGGGACAGCCTGCGACAGTGCCCTACCGCATCGAAATATCGTAATGTTGAACAGTCAACCCTTTTTCTAAGCGGTTTCGTGGTGGGCTCATCCGTGTTTCTTTGTCATTCCCTCCCAGAAGCGGATTTGAACCACGCTCTGCAATTCCAACGATTATTTGGGGCTTTCAAGATTGCCAAAATGAGCACTTATAAGCAAGTAAGTATGTGACGGAACATTACTCCAATTCAACAAGATATATATGTGATGGCTCGGGCAGGGTAAAGGAAGTAAATGGAAAACGGCTTCAAGCTGAAAAATACATTGAGCTGAAAATCGTATTACTTGAGTGAATGATGAGCAGCCCTCCCCAAGCGATCGACCAAAACCAACCAACAAATAGAAATGTGATTGTGAAGAATTGACTCAATCCAACAAGCAGATTCACCACCTGAAAATAGGCAGATTCGACACTATAAATGTTCTTATCCGTTTTGAAGATCTATTCACTCTGTTCATAGGACACCGAAGATATAGATGAAATGAGAAAACATGGTTCATTCCAATCCGTTCTTCACCCCGCACCCTGATGGCGTAGTGGCACCAACATTGGACTTCCAGGTCAACCAAGCTTTCCATCCCTCAGGATCGGTTGATTGATACACAACTTGTCTAGGAGGATAAAGGTCCTGACTCGGACATCGTCTGGTCACTGTAAGTCATGGCATAGGCTAAATGGGCATTTGATTCGGTACAACGATTCTAACTGAAAGAGGAATGTGATGGCGCTATCCCTCCTCATTCCCCCTCTTTGCTCCGCCTCTAGATGCTTGTTCCCTGTAAATTACAGGGAACAATAAATAACAAATTTCGTCGTAGAAGTCAAAGCCATTCAGGGAGGGAATCATAAAGCCTTGAAATTATGTCTAAATGCATAGCTTTTGATAAGTGTTTTCAGGAGTAATACCATAATTGGTAGTTCTTCAAATTAGGGAATGAGTATTAAGATCGCTTACCAAAGTAACCAGTTTCCTCCCTTCTTTTAGATTAACTCGTGGTTGACCCATGCATAATGCTGAAAACCCGGACAAAATCGTTCCTGAA